CTGTGTATGTGATTGCGTGTGTCTATGTGTTGCTGTGTGTTTGTGTCTGTGATTTGTTACTGTGTGTCTGTGTGGGTGTGAATGTGGCACGTGTGTGCCTTGTGTCTGTGTCTTTTCCTGTGTCATATATGGATCTGTTTGTGTGTCTGTGTGGTTTGTGTGTCTCTGTCTGTATGTGTGTATGCCACCAGGTCTGTGGTCTGTGTGTGTAGCTGGTGGTCGCCATGATATGAGACAGCCCCAGGAGGGTGGGGACAGGGCCCTCCCCGCTTTCTGCATCTCCTCTGGGTGTCCTTGGCTCCAGGTTACTCCCTGCCCAGGAAGCTCATGTCTTTTTCCTTCTGTTTCCAGGTGGAGGCCGTCATTCACTCCCCATTCCTGGAAGAACTGCTTTCCCCAGATCCACAGATGGATTTATTGGCCCTAAGCCAGGAGCTGGAGAAGGAGGAAGAACTCACACTTGCCCAGGTAGACCAGCGGAGGGAGGGGAACCCAGAGGCAGGAGGGACCCGACACACAAGGCCCACCTGATTGTCTAACCCCATCCTGCTGGGGATGCTCACCTTCTTGGGGAGTCACTCTGGGGTGGGAAGATGCAGGTTCAGAGGGAGTGGGACGGAGAGGAGCCAGGGAGGTGAGTCAGGATGCAAGCTGCAATGAGGCCCAACGGGATGCCCGGCAGAGCCACACCCTCTCCCTTTGACACGAAGCCCAGATGCCTCAGACTTCCCTGTCTCCCGCCGAAGTGCCCTGGTCTCCACCACCCTGGGCCCTGCTCACACCTGGGGCAGCGCCAGTAAGTGCCTCTTTCCTCCCGCAGCTAGTGGAGAAGCGCCTCCTATCCTTGAAGGAGAAACGGCGTGTGAGGGCAGCCCCTAGTCAAGGCACGGCCTGTTTGGACTCAAGTCCTTCTAAGTTTGCAGCTCGCCAAGGAGCAGAGAGAGACGCCCCTGACCCCCAACAAGGGACCGGCATGGAAACCTGCCCACCCCAGACGGCTGCCCAGATCCCTCAGGAACAGGCTAGAGTGTGCACCGGCATGGCCAGGTCCAAAGACCCTGCGGTGCTTTTGGGATGTCAGGATTGCCCTGAGCTGAGGGCTGCCCAGCCAACCTCTCCTCTCGAGGACCACAGACCCACCTGCCCCAGCCTGGGAACCAAGGACACCTTGGATCTCCCTGGAGCCTCTCCTGTTAAGGAGTCACACAGGCTGGCTAAGGGGTCAAGTGAGGAGAGGGAACTCCCTGGCATGGTGTATGTCGTGGGTTCCCACCACAGGCTGCGGCCCTGGAGGCTATCCCAGAGCCCTGTACCTTCCTCAGGCCTTCTCAGCCCAGGAGGGCGGGGACCCCAGGGAGCTCTTCAGTCGCCATCTGCTCAGAGAAGAGGCCTCAGCCCAGCACCCTCTCCTGTTACCAAGTCCAAGAAGCGACTTCTCTTCGGAAGCCCATCCCCTGCTGAAAAGATGCCCGACCCAGGGCCTGGGCTCAGGGTCTCTGGGGAGCAATCCCTGGCTCCAGGGCTGGGTGGCCCCTCACAGTCTCAAAAGAGAAGGGGTGGCCCCTTGGTCTCCAGGAGGAAGAAAAAGCGGCATTGTAGCCAGTAGGGGCTGCTGCGGGGCAGGCTCTCTGGTGCCAGTCCCCAAGGGTGGGGCTCTGAACTCTCGGACCCTCATGGCAGCAGGTGCCCCAAAGCAAAGGCTGCTTCTCCCCCAGTGCTGATCTTGCTGGGCCTTAGCTTTGGAGGGTGGAGGAGGGAGGGGAGGGAGAGGGTGGCTGAACAGGGAGGGC